CTTGATGAGGGAGCTCATTAGAGAACTCTGAAGGCATAAGTCCTCTCTGAGGAGAAAAGTTTACACATATACTTTCTACAACTTCAGGTAGTTTCAAATGCCTGCCTAGCATTCCTTGGTTATAAAGCAGGGCCAAGTGGTGATACCACAAGAGCATGATGGTGCAAGACCTCCATCCTGTCAGCACTTTTGATTGAATTCTGGAGCTAGGTTTTTTTGATCTCTGGAAATGGTGTAATTGTGGTCAACCAGCCAAGGTCAGTGTACGTAGTCTTAGCAAAGAAGACACTGCTCTGAGGTTTTTTTCTTTGGTGAAGTGACTGTCTTCCAGGGCGAATGCTAATCCACATTACACCTCTCCATCTTGGACAGTCACAGAATTCTCTGTCCTAAAGCTGCTTGGTGGCTAGGGCCTTTAAACATTTCCTGGTTGGAAGACAAATTATGCCCTTTCCTTTTTGATGAAGGAAAAGGAAAATGGGATGCTAAAATAGATAACCTGGAGAAAAGGTTGCAGGGATCGTATAGACATAGTATTGAAAGTGCCCTAGTGAGTTAAAGTAGTTACATTTCACTAGGATGCTCAGATCAGTCAGAATGATTGCAAGGAACTCAGAAAGAGGGCAGTGCACTATCTTTTTTATATTGCCATAAGTGGAGTGGGAAAAGTTAGAGGTCTACCTGATGTGTGGTACTAGAGTATTTATTAGACACGGTCTGGTAATACATATAGGCACATCCACAGTGTCAGCGTGTAGCTCGTCTCAAAGAATAAGTGTTAAGGGAATATAACGTGTTTTTCTAATTTAACAAAGGGATGGTTTAACAAAGTGAACTGCCTGGCTGTCCAGGTGAACCTATCTATATTCACTGATCAGGACCTCTAACAAAATTCTCTTTGTTTCAGTGGCTTCATGAAAAGTTGTTGCACTCTTAAGCAGCTGACCAGTTTGAAGTAGCCACTTTGTATACTTTTACTAAAAACTATGCTATTGCATAAACATTCAGGAATGTTGCTGAACTTGGTAAAGAAAAAAACAGAAATCAAAACCAGCTGTTGTGTGCTAGAAGACTGAAGACTATCTCCAGATTATCTGTAAATGTGGAAGCACTGCTGATTGGGAACAAACATAATGACACTCTTTCAAAGACAAGGTCAATATTGCCATACTGAGTTCCTAGAGATGGGTTAGCCATGCTTCTGTTTCCTTCTGTTAGTGTCTGATTGCTTGCTGTTCTGCAACTCAGAAGAGGGAACCACAATGTTTAAGGCATGCATGCTGAGTGAGGGAAGAAAATGAGCATTCTGCATTATGCAAAAAATTCTTACGGTTGAGTATTTGCAAGGTGTGCGTGCTCAGTGAGAATTCACCTGTAGGTAGTCCACGTTCAGTTGTTGTTTAATAACTTCCTTTCTTGTCTTACATCTCATAACATGAAAGTATTAATAATGTGGATTCTGGAATTTGGATTCATGTTATAAAGTTGAATGAAATGTAAATTTCGGGGGTAAAATACAAAATGGGGTTTGGTTGTGGTTTTTGAAATTTTTGGGGGGGCTGCATACTTGATTTGTGAGTGAAATGTGATTTCACAAATGAATGGTGAAATACAACTTACAGTGACTTTTTGTCACAGAATGGTTGAGGTTGAAAGGGATCTCTGGAGGTCATTTGGTCCAAGCCCTCTGCTCAGACATAGTCACCTAGAGCCAGTTGCCCACGACCATGTCCAGAAGCCTTTTGAATATGTCCAAGGAGGGAGACTCTACCACCTCCGTGGGCAGCCTGTGCCAGTGCTCAGTCACCCCCACAGTAAAAAAGTGTTTCCTGATGTTCAGAGGGAACCTTCTGTGTTTCAGTTTGTACCTGTTACCTCTGGTCCTGTCACTGGGCATCACTGAAAAGTGCCTGGCTCCCTCTTCTTTGTACTCTCCCTTCACGTATTTGTACACACTGATGAGATCCACCCTGAGCTTTCCCTTCTCCAGGTGGAACAGTCCCAGCCTTTCCTCATATGCTTCAGTACCTTAATCTTCTTAGTGGCCCTTCCTTGGGTTCTCTCCAGTATGTCCATGTCTCTCTTGTGCTGGGGAGACCAGAAGAAGACAAAAAAGGAAACTGTTGTTGGAGGTAGCATTCTTTTGAAAATGGTTTTAAACGTACATGTAATGTGTAATAGTAAAGACTATTAGTGACTGCCTGTAAGAGGCATATTTAACAATGAAAAATTTATGTAAGTGCTCCTAGTGAAACTTGCTATAAAAACTGTGTTCTGTAAGTAACAGCTAAATGTAATTGGTGGGGCTTGTAATTTAGTAAAACATGACATAAATGGAGGTGTCTAACAAAGAAGTATCTAGATTTTGTGACTTCAACTGTCTGAAGTCAGGACTTCCTACAGCATCTTATGAAGGCAAATCTGTGTCAATTTGTAGTAGTGTCAGAATGCTTTGCTTTCAGACAGTTGGCTTTATTAATGTTCTTGAGAGTGCTGTAGGCCTCTGAGCTTTTTTGTGTGGTTAAATAAGAAACTGTAAATAGTTGGTATCAGAGTGTTTTTTCTTAATGGTCACCCTGTAACAGTCATAAGCTGGTTCCAACAGGGCTTCTGGAATATGGTGCTTGTATATGTAATGGCAAATCAGTGTTGATTATGAAGAAAATGCTCAGTGGGTGCACTTTTTTTTTTCCTACCTAATGCTGAGTTGCAATTTACCACTTAATTTCTTGCTGGGAACTCCACTTGTGATAATCATCTGCTTTCTTCTTGGCTCTGTTCAGCCTTGAATTTCAGCAGTTAGACCGCTTCTAAACTGAAAAGGAAGCAAGAGGTAAAGGATACAAGTACTTACCTATGTGGATTAGAAGTTGGGGTTTTTATAACCTCATTACAAACATACTCCAGAGTGTTTTCAATTTATAAATACCTGTTTGTGACTTACAGTATGAGTTTATTATATTGAAATTTAATTATAAGAAATGATTTCAAATGATTCAATACCAATTTTCTTAAACCTCCAAAATTATTTTGGGGGTTTTAAACACTGAATTTTGCAAGGGACAAAAAAATACCTCAGACATGAATTTAAGAAAGAAATAAAACTAATTTTCAAATATTGTTTCAGAAATTCTGTCTTTCATATTAAAAGCTAAAATGATTGTAAAAGGTAAAAAGTAAATATAATTGAACATCAGAACCACCAATTATGTATAGTAAGGGTTGTAATTGTACCTCGAAAAAGCTACTACTAATAGTTCTGCATGTTTTGAAATGTTTTTAGCGGGCCTTCTCACTGGCAAAAGGTACCTGAGATCATGAGGGTTCTGCTGTACCACTGTATACATCCATATACAACTCCCCAGTCTGTTTCTTGTCACTGTAGTATCTTGTAGCCTAGCTTTATTACACAATGTGGAGACAAAAAAGACATAATTTTACAGATGATTTGCTGAATTTGCAGCTAAGTAAGTGATAATAGCTTTCATCCATTTCTTTTGATATATTAACATGAATTGTTTTAATAAATCTCAGCTTGGCTGCATTATCTTTACTCTTTGGAGAGGTAGCAAGCAAAGAACAGTTTCGTTTTGTATTTTTCATTCCCCTTCCTTTTCCTTCTTCCCCTTTTTCCCCCCTCCATCTCTCCCAGGTGAAGGAAAAACGAACAGAGGGATATATGAATAGCTTTAGATTAGCTGATGCCAGGATGGAGGGCTAGGAATTTCTGAATTTTTTTTGTTTTTGTTTTTGCTTTTTATCATACTATTTTTCTTTTAGATAACAGGTACTGGAAAAGATAATAAAAGAGAAACAATATCTGTGTCAAAAGAAAGTGGAATCATGAAAAGTTTATTTTATGGTTTTGTCTCAGAAGTTAATATTTCAAGTTAATATTTGAACAAAATGAGGCCTATAACTATTTTGAACTCAGAATTTTACCCCAAAAAACCAGTCACAGTATATGTATTTTAATAAATACAGTTTAATAATATGCTGTTGGACTGTTTAATTTTTATGCCTCAGGGTAGCACTGAGCACTATTTCTACTTTTAGAAGCTTCTTCTCATTAGTGTAGTAAATTCTCTTATATAGTACCTGTTTTAAACTCCAAATCTGAATCTACAAATGTAAAACCTGACTTTTGAAATATTTGCTTTTTTGAACACTCTTCTTTAAAGGACCTATCAGGATCTCTCCCCAAAATGCTAGAAGCTTGAAGGATAAGGGAGGAACAATGTTGCATGGCCCAAACACATGTGCTTTCGTCATTAGCAAGGTACAGCATGACCTCATGTTGACCTCAAAGGTAAATCGCTAACAGGGAACAATTATACATGCCTGTGAAAGCAGCTTAGTTTTGAACATAATCAAGACAATAACTTCAGTGTGTAGAATAAAATTAAATTTACACTGTCTGCCTTTCTCTTTCTCTCCTGTCTCTCTCCAAGTCTCTTCTTGAGAGAATGTTGTGTTTTTTATATATGTGCGTGTTGCGAAAGAAAATCACTTTTCTAGAGGTCATAATAAATTCCTAAATATGGGGAACCCAAAGGATCTTGTATCCAATTTAGTCAAATTGTACATCTTACAATGAAATGCTCTTTTTGATGGAAAAATTTCATTTGTTTTCTAGAGTATTGCAGCCTTCAGAATGTGTGTCTATATTACCCTGGGGAATCTTGTGTAGTTCTGAAACGTATAGATCATTTAGACTTACGGGAAAGTTTTTTAAATATCAATACATTAATTTTTGTGTGCTTATTGTAGACTGCCACACAAACCTATGACACTATTTTTTTTGTAGATGACTAAATATTCTATAGTGTTATGTGATACATCTCTACATATGATGGAATATGATTTAGCTAGCAGTTCTAAGCTATTTGGAGAAGAATTGCTGCCAGCATTTTGGAACTTTTAGCCATATCTGTCCCATATGATTTGTATAATATAATTGTTTGACATGAATTTTATTTCCTTTTTTTTTTTTTTGCTAGAATGAGAGAGCATATTCCTTCTGTGGAACAATAGAATACATGGCTCCAGATATTGTAAGAGGAGGAGATACAGGACATGATAAGGTATGTTCTTTCTAAGTTTATTACTGAAAAGAAATTATTTCTTTAGGCAACCCTGTTGTTCAGCTTGAGGGGTTTTTGTAAAATGTGATAGTGTCTTATTTAAACATGCCTTATTTCAGGTTGTCCTAAAATAGATTTTTGCCTATATTTAAAACCATCAGTATGATGTATTTTCAGTTTTTAATCTTAAGTAAAAGGCATATTTATAAAGGTATTGTGGCTCATTTATGTTCTATTCAAAATTTGTTCTAAACGTGCAGTGGGACAAAAAAACTTAGCTGACACTTACTTCCTTTTAAATAAAAAAAACAGTTTGTAGCAGAAAAATGACTGTTTTGTGGCTAACTGATATATTGTTTTAAATTGTACATCAGGGAAATCTATTATATTTCTTGAAGTATAGAGTGGGTTATTAATGTTATAAATGTTCTCAGATTGTAAAAATTAATTCTGTTTAGCTTGAGGCTCAAGTTTTATTATGAATTAAAGTGTCAGTAATTGATGGGAAAGATCAAGACAACCATAATTCACAGATAATATTTGAAACCAAAACAACCCTACTCCCCAAATGAATTCTACAATATTAGTAGATAAATTATTCTGATTGCTCACTGTACTGAGAAGTTTTGGAGAATATTTAATCTCCGGGTTTTTGCTGTAGATTGAGTTGACTTGTCTTTCTGTTGGGGGTCGTGGAATATAGTTGATCACAGTTCCTCTTATAACAGCCTTTTTAAGCACTGGAAAATGTTATGTCACCCTCCATCTCCTTTTTCTAGACTAACTGGACTCAGTCTGACTTTGAAAAGGTTCTTTCTTCTCCTTCTCTATGCATTCTGCTTCTCTTTTGGTCTGAGTTTGCCTGTATATTTCTTCAGGTAGGGAGCATTGTAGTGGGCACAGTGTTTCAGCTAAGAGTTGGCAGTTTGATTTGCAGCAGAATGATTACCTCCCTGATTCTTCTATTAAACATAAAATAGAATGTACTTTGTCTTTTCACTTAGTCATTGTCTCACACCTACTTTGTATTCCACTATAACCTCTGCATCTTTTTCTACCGTACTGCTTGCCCAGTCATTATTAAAAATGGAATTTTACAAACTTATGAATTGAAGCTCTTTCCTGCACCCTATTTCTTAGAATCATAGAATCATTAAGGTTGGAAAAGACCTCTAAGATCATCGAGTCCAACCGTCAACCCAACACCACCATGCCCACTAAACCATGTCCCTAAGTGCCTCATCTACACGTCTTAAATACTTCCCCATTTCCTCTCATCCTATCGCTAGTTACTTGGGAGAAGAGACTGACACCCACCTCGCTACAACCTCCTGTCAGGTAGTTGCAGAGAGCGATAAGGTCCCTCCTCGCCTCCTTTTCTGCAGGCTAAGCAACCCCAGTTCCCTCAGCCGCTCCTCATAAGACTTGTTCTCCAGACCCCTCACCAGCCTCGTTGCCCTTCTCTGGACACGCTCCAGCACCTCAACGTCCTTCTTGTAGTGAGGGGCCCAAAACTGAACACAGTAGTGTTCTTAGTGTTCTTAATTTAGTCTTGCCAGTTTCAGAGCATCTCTCCAATGTGTCAGTCACTTTGAATTGTGATTCTGTCTTCTCAAATGCTTACAAATTCAGTATCGTTGCTGATTTAAAGAGGAATCTCTGGTTATCTTTGGTTCTATCTGATACTTTCATTAGATGTTGTGCAGAGCCATGCAGTGTTCTGTAAGAAATAGCTTCACAGTTTGATACCAAATGTTAGCTGATAAATAAGGGTGATTTTTCAGTTACCTATGTTATGGTAATTGTTTACAGTAATTTCGGTTACCTATGTGATGGTAATTGTTTACACCACACACTCTTTGCCTCACCATTGGCAATGTCATGTGATACAGTGTTAGAAGGTTTTTAGTGTATTTTGTTTTTACTGCATATCTAGCAATGCAAAGATCTTATTTAAAAAAGAGGAAATGAGATTGCTTTAGTATTCTATGCTCTCATTAATCAATGTTTTTGATTTGTAATCTCCTATAGATAGCTGTATTGTTTGTCTAAAAGATTTGCTCTAGTATTTCAGTATTTATTTTTTTAAAGTTTGATTTTTTGATTCTGCAGATCCTCCTTTTCTTTTGGAAAAACACGTACCAAGAAAAAAATTATTCTTCTGGGATTTTCTCTGATCATTGTGTATTTGCAAAGATAATTGCTAACAGTACAGAGACTTCTTCAGCTAGTTATTCTAGGCCCTCTTGGCTGAATATATGAAACATCAGATTTTTATGTCTCTTGAAGCAAAAAAAACCTAAAATACGAGGTCAAATTGCCATAATTTCACTAATTGTCTTCCTGTATTGTATTAATGTTGTCAACATAAGTAAAGCAGAACCTCTTTGATTTGCAAATTTCATGGAAGTAAAACTGAGAAGTTCAAACACCTGTAGTTAAACAATTTTGTTGAAATGACTAAACTTTATTTTTCATAGTAGCATCTTTTCTTTTGAAAGAAATATTTTGCAAGTTATGAGGTATCAGAGACATGAATAATAATTAGTATATGCGAAGCCAAAGATCACATGTGTTACCAGGGAATGTAAGATAAAATTCCCTAGCATTTTCAGGTGCCCTGATTAATTGTGATGGGTACTCTTAAATTGTGCTTTTTCAAAGTTCCTTAGTTTCATTCTCAAGGCCCTAAAAGCTCAGGTTGCACTACTTCTTAGCAAGGCTTAGGTTCCTCTGTTATTTCGAGTATGTTTTAGAATTCTTATCACTTCACAATGGTAAAAATAAAAATCAATTCGGGGGTAGGGGGGGAAGGAAATTTAGTAGTCAGTGGGAAGAGTTCAGCTTGAGAAATTAGTTGAAGCAGCTAAGTGGAGAGATTTCAAAATAAAATTAATTTATCATAGAAAATACCTCCAATCAGTACTGCAGTTGTTTATGCTTTATTGTATCCAGGTTTGCCTTTATATGGATAGGTGGGCTCTTCCTTTGCTAGTTGCTTTCTGAGTGCATTGTTTTGTTCCTTCTTTTGTTAACAATTTTACGAAAGTGTATCATAACATACATAATTATTGTTGTTCTATAGGCTGTTGATTGGTGGAGTGTTGGTGTTCTTATGTATGAGTTACTAACTGGAGCATCACCATTTACAGTTGATGGAGAGAAGAATTCCCAAGCAGAGATTTCTAGGTAAGATTCAAAACAGTAAAGTATACGTGCTTGCCCACAAAGTGATGCTTATGCCATGATATATGTTTTGTGAGAGTTTTAATCTAAAATTTAGGAAGAAAGTGCTACCAGGGTAACATTTCAGGTGCTCCAGTTCTGTTTAACAGAATCATGTCTGGAAGCAAATAGGTTTTATTAACCTCAGCAGGTTATTGAAATAATAGAACTGACCTTTACAAAAGACCTGGTTTTTTTTTTTTAACTCTGCAGTGGAGCCACATTTGTAGATATTCAACCTGGTTGCATGTTTACTGTTGAAAAGGAAGTCAAATGAAATATGAAATTATATGTAAATAGAATTGTCACATTCAAAATCTTGATACGTAATGAAACATATATTTAGCTAGAGGGATTTTTGTCAGCTCTTGCTAGATCACTCCATCAGACTACAGGTTTAAAGTGTCAGGATGTACCGTATTCCTGCCTTTTTGTCACAGGTAATATTTATTTTATTAGTGTATAAAGTGAAACAAAGAACAGCATCTTTTCTAGCCATACTTGCATATCTGAGAAGAAATGAATATACTTATGGAACTGAAATAACCTATACCATTCTTATACATGTAAACTTTTCCTGACTGTCAGCTTTGTTATGTTCAGTAATCTCTACACTTTAAAGGTTTGTTTTCAGTACTCGTGTAAAAGCATTGGAGCATTTTAAAAAGACAAAGCAATAAGCTTTCCCAAAACACATTATTGAAATCTCCCCCCAAAATGAGCATTTCCTATTACTGTATTTCTCTTGGAGTGGGGAGTTGAGGGCTTAAATTGCACAAATTGGTAACTGCTGTCAAGCTCAGCTTGTAAGCCCAGTCCCCAAACTAAGAATAGCCTTGCTTCTATTGGAATGTATTACCATGGTTCTGACCCTCACCTGAAGCCACTTGATATTTAAGGTTATAATGGGCAACAGAATATACATCAATTATTTAGATAATTTATTTTACTTCTGTTATAAATTCAGGCAATTTCTTGGAAGGTTGAGACCTGTTTATTGATTTCTAGGTCTCTAGCAGAACAGGAAACTTAGAGGGCCACTAGAAAAAATATGGGGCGGAGGGCGGGGAATCCATTAACAAAGCAAAATTCAGGACTTCACTCTCTTAGTCATTATGGTGGAGTTAAAACTTAAATTAACTCTTTCTGACCTATTTAAGGTTAGAAATTTTGTTGATTGATTTCTAGGTCTCTATCAGAACAGGAAACTTAGAGGGCCACTAGAAAAAATATGGGGCGGAGGGCGGGGAATCCATTAACAAAGCAAAATTCAGGACTTCACTCTCTTAGTCATTATGGTGGAGTTAAAACTTAAATTAACTCTTTCTGACCTATTTAAGGTTAGAAATTTTGTTGATTGCTTATGCCATGTCTGAATTGGTAATTTTGACTCCCAAGATTTACTAAATGGAACTCTGAAGGAGTTACGAATTTTTTAGAGAGAACCTTGACGTGAATTTTACAGATAATAGTTTTTCCCCAAAACTGGGAAGCTTTTTAGAAATGTATTCTACAGGATTTGACTGTCTTCTGGTAGGTCCTTCTGTGCTCTTTAATATCTTAATCTTTCTGATAATTTAAGATTGAATTCAAAGCTGAGAAGCCGCAAGGTTGCTAACATCCATCCTCTGATGGCTAATAACCTAATTTCTGATCTAAATTTAGTTGTGGCAAGTATATTGTGTTGCTCAGTATGCTTTTGTTCTGTTTGGTATTTATGCTACGCATTTATAGACATTGATCCTGTAGTCTTTCAGCTTTTATTTTGATAAATTTAAAAGGTAAATTCTTAGTTTTCTTTAGATAAAGATGTTCCCAAGTCGTCTTGTTTCCTGAAAAAGCCTTTTCTTAACTCAGCTTGTGGTGTTCTTTCTTACATATGGACAGTTTATTCCTGTTGATGTTTCAAGAGGATCTTGTTTAAGGGAAGTAGTAATTCACCATCTGAACAAAAAGATTCCTTCCTTTTTTCTTCGATTCCTCTTGTTGATGCCAATGGTGGACTGATAGATCTAATTCCTTTTCCTTTTCTATCACTTCCAACTGATAAGCCCCTAGTTTATAGCTGAAATCTCATTAGTCCCAACTGTATGACTGCATTTCAGACTTGATTTCATCTGTCTTCTGTTACTTCAGTACTCATAAGACCCATGGTTTCTGAATCCTTTCCATTGATAGCAATTTCTGTGCTGGATTACATCCATTTTGTGTGTTCGCAGTTTATTATGTAATGAATGTTATGCTCCTTTTAAGAGTGTGGCTGAGCACGTGAGAACATTGCTGTTTTCTCTGTCCTGGCTGCTGCACTGAGTCACGTGGAACCTTCTGGGGAATGGTGGTTGCTGCGTGCCTTGGGAAACAACGGGAGTGTGTTTGGGGCTTTCCCTGAGGGTAGGGTAGAGCAGGCAGAATGGATGTGAGATATCACAGGCTGTGGTGCTCCTGCAGCCCAGGCAGAGGGTGGGAAGTGTAGGGAGCAGAAGCACATCTCGGAGAAGAAGGAAAGAGAAACTTTTTTCTAAGGATTGAAGGGGACTGTGTAGAGTTTGCTGCAACTTGGGAAGCTGTTGAACTACTCGCTTGAGAGCATGCCTGAAAGAAATGATCTGCCCTTCCTGACATGCTAGCCTGTTAAATTTAGAAATTCTTGTTACCATATTCATGGCTTTTCAGAAATACTCTCCTTGTATTTACCTCTAGCGTGAATACACTGGGTTCTTTCAAGAAATAACAGCTGAATTTTCAGTACCTGTCTTTATCCTAAGCCTGTCTGGCCTAGGAGGTATGATCTTTATTTCATTTTTTCTTTGATAATTTTGTCACTGAAGATACATTTGCAGTTTACACTTAATGTCCTTTTTTTTGATTGTTAATTCTTTTAATTATGTCTGCAGCCTTTTCTATAAAGTTTTCTGTTAAATTGGGATGCAGACTCTAGATAATTTTACACCTATAATTAAATAGGTTCCATATTATCTCAGTGACTATCTTTGATCTTTCTAGTTTCATTTCCTCTCTAAACTGATGAAAAATGAATTGCAGATAACTTCATCAGATATTTACAGTTGCCAGTGGTAATGAAATCACTAGCACTGGCACAGAGCTATGAGTTGGTACAAACTTCTTTCTGGGTGGCAAGTTTTTCTAAACAGAAATTGTATTCCCTAACCTAAATATGCTTTAACTTGCCAATTGCAGCAGACTTAGAGAATTCAGTTTTTTCTTCCTTAGTCACAATCCCTGAAAGCATAGTTTCCATGGCCTTTGATTTTTCTGAGTTTAAGGAAAAAAGTCTTCTAAATGAATCCAGGTCCTTCTTTTATTTTACCTAGGTGGGAAGTAATCTTAGATATTTTTAGATAATGTTATTCCCTTGTGTGGCACAATGGCTATCTGCTTATAAATTTGAGCATGAAGTTTTGTTCTGAAATCTCTCTCTAATGGACAGTTCAGTTCTTCTGTCAGAAATAGTTACTGTGTGGTTTGTATCTTTTTTTACTCTTTCTGATGAGACATTGTGTTCAGTTCTTTTATCATAACCGTTTTGACAACACTGTGGACTTCTCTTTCATGGCAAGTGCAACTTAAGTGCATACTTTAATTTCCCTTATGTCTCTGTGTCTCTGTCTCTGAAGATGCTTTTTGTTCACATGCTTGGTGTTATGGTTATTAAACTTGATTAAAAAAATTTCACAGAACTATTCAAGTATCTCTCCTTTTCTAGCATGCCCTCTCCCCTTTCTTCTCTCTTCTTCCCAAATCTTCCTTTCATTTTTGAGAATTCTGGACTTCCATTGCTGCAGAGCTGTGGATAGGACCCATCCTGCAAAAGCATAGGCAAGGGCTGGGTTTGATTACACACCCAGTATTTTCAGTTTGACCATGAGTGATTTGTAGTGCTGGTTTGAAAGACAGACAAATCCATTTTAGGGTGTTGACTTTTGAGGGTCTTGTCATACATACAGGGATTTAAAATGAGCATGAAGTTTTTGGAGTATTATTTTGCTGCTCTGCAGCAGCTTAGAAAATCTTATCAGCTTTGGGGTTATGAATAGAGAGATATCTATCTTTTTCCATTTTTATACATATATACATCTATAAAATAATCTGTAGAAGCACATAATGCCATATTAGCATACAAATGCTAATAGCAGCCTATGCTCTTTATTTGATATAGTTGGTTAGACTTTATTTAAACTTCATGGAGGATGGCTGAAATTTGACCATCCATTAGATGCTATCAAGTTATTTTGTCCACAATTCTGCAAGAAACCTTTTCTTGATAAAACTGTTGGGAAGATTCATAGCAGGCATATACTGGGATATTCCCTTCTTTATTCTCTGCCTGTGAAGACTCCAGTGATTGCTAGATCTTTTAAAGGACAGAGCAGTCATTAAATCCAACTTGTAATTTGCATGGTGTCTTCTAGAATTTTGTCCTAGAGCGTATAGCTGTCTACCTAGAATATACAGCATTTATATGCCTAGACAGGGAGTCCAGAGTCCAAGAGCTGATAGACAATAATGTAATGATGCTTTTCTAACAGATAGCAATGAGTTAGGAAATCCCTGCCACATGAAGGAAACCATTTGATGCTAGACTTAATGTGAATCACATCACATCAGCGACTGCCTACAGATCAGTTCAACCTTTCAGTAAAGCAGATGGTTTTAAGAAAGTCATAAGTATTGCATCAAAGTCTCTGACTTGCCTAGAACTGGGGATGCGCATGTAGATCTGGCTGCTCAAAGCTGGAGCAAAAATACCTGGCATTAGTAGTTCTGAGATGACAGGGTATTCAGTAGAGTCATTCTCAAATGTGAAGGTGAAAACACTGCTTTGGGAGCTTGTCCCTCTGCCCTTTAACAGGGTTGCAGCTTGGGATTGCTTTCTCTTACTCCCTGAACATCAGGATGGATATGTATCTTTTTGGTGATGCTTACAATACAGTTCTGAGGGCACT